ATTTCATTTGCAATGGTTTATCATATACACTTGCTTTCAGATATCATGCTGAAACAAAGTTATGTTTATGCTTTACCTGTAACATCTATGAACTAAAAGAGATTGTCATATATTCATTTAATTATTTAAAAAAAACCCATTTAAGTAAATCCTGTTGTCAGTGGCTATTAAGGACCCTGATTGAGTCCCTCGATTTAGATAACATATATCCTTGAGCTTGTATAAAGAAGAACTACAATGATTCTTTATTAAAAATAATAGTTGGATAATATAAATTGAGCTAAAATTATTTAAGTGTTTTCATATACTCTTCAAATACTCTTAATTCTATACTTTAACACATAAGAAACTTAGTATGAAACTTAGAAACTTTCTGCGTTGGAAAAATAGATATTCATAGCACCGTATTTTTTTTTCTTTTTTAAAGATCATAAAACTTCATGAGGATTCTAGATTCGAATATTTGTTCACTTCATCTCCTAATTGGGTACACTGAAGGCCTTTCCCTGTCTTGTCCCCCCACCCACAGATTCCCCCAAAATTGTGGGGAGGACAACAAATAAAATCATGTGTTTGAGTCATTTTCTAGTTTTCATCTAGCTGATTTCATTTCATAGATCCTGAACAATTTACCGTAGGCTATTATACTAATCATATTAGACATGAAACTTTTTTTTTTACTTATTAACTCTCACTAATTTAAGGTGTTTTGGAAACAGAAAGGATTTTCTTTTTCTTTTAATTAAAAAACCATCTTCTGAGTTCTTACTGGCTCTACATTTTAGGTGTTTGCTGGTATTATTTGTCAGTGAATTGGAACTGGCACGTCTGAGCTCTTGGCTCTAATGCAAAGTCTGTTGGCATCACGTGTTAGTAAATTCCAAACCCCAGCACAGAAATGTGAATTCAGATCTTGCTGGGTTAGTGTACAGTAAACTATACCTACAGATTTTCTTTACTAGGAAGAAGACAAAGCTGCTGGTATAGGATTAGTTCATGTTGAAGAAAAAAGAGGGAAACAAACACAAAGACCTCAATGCAGTGTACAAATAACATTTTGTTCAACTACCTCTTAATGTGGAATTAGCTAGTTTAATATTTTCCTCACAGTAATGTTAAATAGTAACTGCCAAATTTGTTAGTTTCCCATCTCTCTTAGAAAGGCTTTAAGATTATTTTATAGTTTTGAGAACTTTGAAGTCACTTTTTTTTTAACTTTGCATTTGCATAAAAATATTTAGCTTTTAAGTGGAGAGCAAATTATGATCATATATTTTGATATTCAAGACCTGTTTGACTATAGCAATTTTTTTTAATGCACTTTGGCTATAAAACCATGGATGATTTGATCCATAAGATTTAAATGTGCCATCAATTTAGTATTCCTAGACATGAACTTGATGAATGGTATTCTGTAATTATAATGTGCCACACATTATCGTGTCTTAATTGCCCTTTGCCTGAATTTTAATGATCAATTTGTTGTTGCAGATGTGAATATTGTGCATAAACTTACTAAATTTATGTAAAATTGTATAAAAAGAATTGGAAATAGCTAAGTTCTTTCTGTGTAGAAGTAATGAATTTATTGTAACATGATGCAGTTATGTATATGACATTCTGTACTTCTTTGAACTGGATCATATATTCATAGTTTCTATAGAAACTTCTGCATGAATATTTTCTCATTTAGGTTTTGGATTCATTATTTGTATTGTGTTTACTACTTGTGATCATGTAGTTGTGCCTTATTTTGTGAGAGTTTAGCTCAGTAAATACTGTAATTTCGAAACTCAGTGAGTGGAAGGTTATTGATTATAAATGTAACTGTTAAATTACACAACAGCATTTAAATCTGTATAAAGAACAATGGAAGGATCCTTATTGAATTGTTGCTTTTGTTTTTTTTTAATTTGTTAAAAGATGATATTAAAAAACCATTTCTTTCTAGTAGATGTATTCTGTGACTAAATTATTTTACCTATTTAAAAAAAGAGTACAAAATAGTAACCATTTTGTATATATTTACAGAATGTTAGAACTTTCTACTTGGATGTAGACGGGGTAAGCTTTGATATTTAACTTAGAATAGTAATTAAGTTCATAATATCAAGAGAAATTACTAAAGCCATTTTGCGTAAGACATTCCTTTTTCATTCCATTCATTATTGTGGAAAATTAACAACTACAAAGAAATATTAAACAATATTGAAGTAATTCCTTCTTTCATTGTTTATCTAAGTTTAGTACCCAGGTGAGCATTTATTTATTTATTTTTTAAAATTTTATTATGTTAGTCACCATACATCATTAGTTTTTTTTTTTTTTTAAAGATTTTTTATTTATTTGACAGAGAGAGACACAGCGAGAGAGGGAACACAAGCAGGGGGAGTGGGAGAAGGAGAAGCAGGTCTCCCACTGAGCGGGGAGCCCAACGCGGGGCTCTCTGAAGGCAGACACTTAACGACTGAGCCACCCAGGCGCCCCAGTACATCATTAGTTTTTGATGTGGTGATCCACGATCCACTGTTTTCGTGTAACACCCAGTGCTCCTTGCAGTACGTGCCCTCCTTAATACCCATCACCGGGCTAACCCATCCCTTCACCCCCTTCCCCTCTAGAACCCTGTTTGTTTCTCAGGTGAGCATTTAAAGATCCTTTTCTGACGGCTCAGTAAGCCATTGTTTTTTACTGTTTTTCCTGGGAACCAAAGTTCCTGAAGTGTTTTTTTCATTTTACTCTAATGTGTGCTTGCTTCTGAAGGGTTTAATGTGAATATCCTTAAGGACTTACCAGATTATATATTAGATATGTTCTTTTATGAGCTTTATAGAATTTCAGTTTAAATATATAGCGTATTCTTTTTTAAATTTTATTGTGGTAAGAACGCTTAACAGCTTAAGTGTATAGTACAGTAGACCTCTAAAGCCTCCTCATCTCACTTAACTGAAATTTTATGCCATTGCTTGGTAACTCCCCATTTCCCCCTCTCTTGGAAACACTGTTCTGCTCTGGTTCTATGAATTTGACTACTTTCAATACCTCATGTCAGTGGAATCACACAATATTTGTCTTTCTGTGACTGGCTTATTTCCCTTAGCATCATGTCCAAGGTTCATCTATATTACTGCAAATTGCAGCATTTCCTTCTTTCTAAAGGTTGAAACAGTATTCCATTGTATGTATGTACCACATTTTCTTTATCTGTTCATCCTTTGATGGACATTAGGTTTCTTCCACTTCTTGGCTATTGTGAATAGTGCTGTGAGGGACACAGGAGTGTCTAATATTTCTTTGTATATAGCGTATTCTTAAGCTGTTTTACATCTTGATGCTAATTTACTCAGTCTTTTTCTCCCTTGAATGAGATTTAAGTGTGAAATTAGTTGTTTATACATATAAATACTCACTGGACTCATGGGACTTTAAAAAGGAATCCCGAGAGATTGCCTAGTTACAGTCCATTGCCCTCCTCTTGGCTTGGCTTATACCTAAAAATTCCTGCAAGAGGATTGTTGATTTTTTTCTAAAAATTATGTATATTATTTTTTGGCCAAAAATTTCTTCCTAAGTCTTCTCTTGCATAAATCTGTATTATCTTCTCCTGGACATAATTGCTTTCAATCCCATCTGGTGCCATCTCTAGGAACTCACTTGAAGGCCAGTCCCTGTTCTTTGCCCGTTTTTTTTTTTCTCATTTATTCTTAGACATTAACAGTAGTTACTGTTTTCAAGATTTTCCTCTCATTTCTGCTTGTTCTTGATAAATATCTGAGATTATTATACAGAGACTGTGACCCTCCATTCTAATAGTGCTTGCCCTTGTACAAGAGCCTTTATGCTGCACTTGTCTGTACTGCCTGGTTTACATGGTGAAATCTGTGTTTTCCTCAAAGAATTAATTGTGCTGCACATGACTTCCTCAAGCATCATCCTCTCTATCCTATCCTCCAACTTACCTCCAAGCCCAAATTGATAAATTTAATACTGCCATTTTGGAAATTGCAAAAGTTACTAATCCTGGAATTAAAATTTGTGGATTTCCTTTTGATATAATCTGACTATAAGAACTAGTTTTTTAAATGCAGTGATAGTATTCTACCATGACAGTATAATAATTCAAACTGCCTTTCTTCATAAAAATTCCAGTGACGTTTCAGATGCTTCCTGCCAAATAAATTTGACTGCACTGTGCTAACACACACACACACACACACACACACACACACACACACACACACCCACTCAAAACCAGAAAGTGGTTTTATGACAAACTTCATCATTCTTCAAAAAATGAAAGACTTTCTATTAAATCTTAACTATTTCTATGAAAATCTCCCTTGTAAAGCTGTTAACTGGTGAAACTGGAACAGATACTTTTTTTCCTCCTTAAAATAAGGGAATTTAGTCTCTGGGATTTTCTACTTCTAAGGGTATTATGAAATATACCTGAGATAAGCAAACTGTCAGCAAATAGGAATTTAAAAACTATTATAGACTTTATTAATTGCTTAATCTGTTAGAAGAGCAAAGTGTATATCACAATTATCATTGCATGTGAGGTAGGACTCTAAAGCAGTAAGACTGGTTTACAAACCATGTAGGAAATTTGTTTTCATTATCGACATACCAAAGTGAGATGCTAGAACTCATACAGAGCACAAGCAGGGGACATTGCTTTCCTCCTGACACTCCATTCATCTGACCTTTCACCCTTTACCAATTATAAGAGCACCATTCTTCACTTACACCTCTTGCAGGTCCTACTGAAACATTATAAGGTAGTCTAGATAACAGTATATACCTGCCAAAAAATTCCTCAGAGTTCAAATTTGTTGCAGTCATTATTCCTCTATAGTGAGAATTTTCTTGGCTCAAATTCTGGACCTCCTTTAAAAACACATTTCCTTCTAGCTCATCACTAAGTGTTAACAAAAGTTTGAATGAAAGAGTATCTTAATCCCTAATGTCTAAAAAGATGCACCACTCGTTTTAGGTCCCTAAATTTCAGAGGATTTTGCAGACAATGTAAATAAAGATATATTCTTGGTTTCCTGATTCTTGGTGAAGCAAGAGACCACTGCTATTTGTGCCATCCATGTTTCCTGTTAAAAAAAAAAACCCAACATACATATATATATATATATATAGAGAGAGAGAGAGATTACTTACTGACTTGCTTTTTAAAGCTGAAGACTAATGAAACATTTGCATATTTCCCATTTTCTTTCTAAAATCTAATATAAAATATCTCTAATCATCCATGAAAGTGCAAATGGATTAAATGAGTATGGTATGGAAGTTGGGAAAACAGTTATGAGTAATCAAGGAGCCGTAATAGTCAATGATGACTAATCAGAAAAATGAGCACCGAGAATATTGAAAGTTTCAATTTCTTGAATTTCCATTTTGTATGGAAATAGTTCTTAACAAGTGGCGTTAATTTGAAAAACAATATAAATAGTTTGAAAGTTCAATTTCTTGAATTTCCATTTTGTATGGAAATAGTGGCATAATTTGAAAAACAGACTGAGGAGCTGACCCAGGAAATTGAGTTATTGAGAGTAATGCAATACTTGCATTAATTGTCGGGCCGTGTTGCTGCTATGATGAAAACCTTCCTGGAGAAAGACAAAAATGGAAACTTCTAAGATAGAGAAACCAGAGTCAGGCAACTGCTCTTTCCCTCCATAGCTGTATCCATACTGGTGTATTTTGTTTTTTTTTAAACACTGGCATATTTTCAAAGGTGGTTCATTACTGCAGCAGCCCCTCATTTAAGCTGACATCACATTATTTGCATACCCGGACTTTGAAAACTGATTGGGACCCCTTAAAAGTCAATCATGCAATCCAAAAGCAGTTCTTTCCCCCATTGTTTTATATAAGCTGCAGAACTCAGAGGCAGCACTCGAGCTTCTGGTCCAGGAGAAAATGAAGGTGGCTCTGTCTGCTGTGAGAGTAAGAAAATGCTCAACTCCTAAGATTTCTCAGCATGATATGGACTAGATGTCCACATCCTTCCCCTCTTAACTTCTGCCCTTCCCAGAGCCAGGGAAGGAAATACACAAAATTTCCCATTTCCCATTACTTAGGAGGATTGGAGTGAGATTTTTCCTTATGTCAAGTCTGAAGAATCAAACCCTATAAAACCGAAATGTTTTGATGTTTTCCGTTTGGGCTTGTAATAAGAATGCTACTCTATGCTGTCAAGACCTGTTTTCATGTTGTACAAGGAAAGCATTTCTCAACCTGAACGCTAGAAAAATATTACAAAGACAAATCACTTAATATGAAATCCAAACAGTTTCTCAGTACAAGAACCTAGAGTATTTTTTTTTTAAAGATTTTATTTATTTGAGAGAATGAGAGAGCATGGGGGTGGGGAGGGTCAGAGGGGGGAGAAGCAGACTCCCTGCTGAGCAGGGAGCCCGATGCGGGACTTGATCCCGGGACTCCAGGATCATGACCTGAGCCCAAGGCAGTCACTTAACCAACTGAGCCACCCAGGTGCCCTGGAGTATGTTTTTAATGAATGTGGGAGGTTTATGTAGATTACCAAAAAAAAAAAAAAATTGGATTCCAAGACCAAGACTTCGCTACTATGTCCAAATAGAGCCCATTTAAATATGAAAACCCTTTCTTCCTTACCTAACAACAAGTGGGGCTTGATGAAATGCAATTATGGCTTACCTGAAGGAAAATGGGCACCTTCTAGAAGATATTTAGCATGTTAGGTGGATAGTGTGTATATAAAATATAGACAATAAAAATATGGAAAAGAATGTTTCTTTGACTTCCACCACTCCTTTTTAAAATGTTACTTTTGAATTTAAAGTGAAATCACAGCAAAACAAGGGTTATAAACAAATTAAGATGTAGCAAAAATACCAAATCTGAGTGCTTCACAACAGGCCAAAAAATTGACTCAAAATTCAGCCTCTACCAAACTATGTGAAATGTGAAACAAGCAAAAAGAAGTGTTGGTGTGGTTTCTGCGCTTGAAAAAGAAGCAGTCTGTTCTGTCATTTCCCTAGCTGGTCTCTTAAAGAAACGACAGGAGATACTGGGAAAGCAGTTCCTTTAAAAAAAAAAATGATTTTATTTATCTATTTGACAAAGAAAGCGTGAGCACAAGCAGGGGGAGCGGCAGACAGGGGAAGAAGCAGACTCCCCGCTGAGTAGGGAGCCCGATGCGGGGCTCGAATCCAGGACTCTGGGATCATGACCCGAACCGAAGGCAGAAGCTTAACCGACTGAGCCACCTGGGCCCCCCACCCCCCCTTTATTTTTAATGTAGCAGGAGCTTTTAAAAGGAAAGCTTCTTCCTTGAATTATTAATACCACACAGGGAGTAAAATTCTGCAGCCTATGCGGTTACTTATGCCTAGGAACACACAGAAAACCAACCTAGGCTCGTCTTCTGGTCATATCAAGGAGTACCTTAAGAGTGGAGGAGGCATTCAGGACTTACTCCTGGCTGATCCTTATGCTGATGCTTGTCCACTGTCATTATTTGTATTTGATGAAATTTGTGGGTTTAACTCAGACTCATGGCAGTAGGTTGGGCCTCATTTCAGAATCAAAGTGATTACAAGACTTCTACTTTCTTAACTGCAAGAACTATTCTAGTATTACAGGTAATACTCAAAGCAGTCTAAACCTCCTAATTCCTAAATTCTACCACAACGAAATCTGTTAAGGTCATGAAATTCCGTCCAGCTTCTCTGAGATGAGAGGACTATTAAAACGACTTTCTGGAAAAAAGATCTGACTGGGTTTGTTTTACTCCCTGATTTTTCTCCTTATAAATTCCCCGTAGCAAGTAAGGCTTCACAGATCAGGTAGTTGTTGTTCTTGGCTGGATATTGGAATCCATTTTCCTCAAAAATTGCAACTGCAGTTCTCAATTATTCAAGGCATCCCTCATCTGTTTGATTTGTAATATGGGTACAAGGGGACTTTATAAGCAAAAGGAACTGGTCCAGCTAGGCGTGTAAAATAAAATGAGGAGAGAAAATATATGGTCAAGAATTGCCCTTTTTCTTGCCTGACATTCCAATATAATAATTATAATAACTGACACCCTTATTAAGCCCTTACTCTGTACTGGACACTGTGCTGTTTTTTTCCTCCTTTTTGTATCATTTAAAGCACACAGCAACCGACTAAGTCCTCTAGTTCCTACTTATGAATGAGGAGACAGATTTAGTTTTTCCAAGGCCACCCAGCTCGTAAATGACATAGCCAGGATTTGAAACTAGGTTGTCAATTACTCCAAAGAACCATCTCTTCTTTTTTCACCCTTTATTCTTTTCCACTCGACAGCTATTTCGGTTCATGCACCGTTATCTCAACAGTCAAAATAATTAGATGAGGGGAATGAGGAAAAAAAAGTGTATGAATATAAAACGAGATGGTAGTAGCAAATCAGAAAATAACAAAAAATGGTGGACATATAGCTTTAAAAAAGATACTGTTTTTATTTAAAAAAAAAAAAAAAAACACCAAAACTGGAAGAGAAAAAACATGCATCTCTCCAGGTAATCCAGTGATGTGAGATCTCCCAGGAAGTCGAGTTCTTAAAGGTGGCAGGGCCGTCGCTAACCTGAGTCCTCAGCTCAAGCTACTTCTGCTCTTCCCCTGTGGTTCTGAAGGCTTCCTCCCCTCAAGGGCGTTTATCCTCTTATTACTATGGCAACTGTAGTGAGAGAAAAATTTCCTGCCCTGAGATAGCCTCTGCTAATGACATTTCTACCCATGAAAAAGTAAACTGAGCAAATGAACAAAAGTATGTCTGGACCTCACATACTGAGTCTCTGCCCGTCTACACTGCTCTGCCATCCGCTGAGCAGGGCGGCAGCTCCCACAAGGGATGGGGGCAGGGACGAGGCTGGGGGGGCAGTGCACTCACAGGGGCTGAGATGCCCCTTTTTAGGCTTTCTCTAGAAACGTCCTCTGGCTTAGGCACACTTTGGTCTATATAGACTGCGAGCCATTCCAACCAACTCAGATATGCAGCCTTTCGGCCTGACCACGTCATGTTTCAGCACATCTTAGTGGAAGTGGAAAGAAAAGACAGAGGGCAGAAGGCTCAGGTTCTGGATGCAGGTTTCCCTTGGTGGAGCCCTTCTGCTCTTGGGGAGAGTTTGCTTCCATTCATGAGTTAACATGTAAAGCATTTAAATATATGACTTGGTCATATAACATAACTATGTCAATGTTTGCTATTATTATTATCATCCATGTGTGTATTCATTCATTCAATGTGAAACATTGCTCCACCATGTTTAGGGGGGCCCGTGCTACTCACTGAAGCTCTGCGCTTGGCCGCTGCATTGGGAATTGAGGGGCATAGGTAGTGCTCCCTTTTTTCCTGCTCCTCCCTTAGGACAGGAAGGTGGTCCCCCTGCCCCCCCCAGCCCCCCCTGACCCCCCGCTTCATCCGCTCTCCTAGGCGTCTGTACCCAGGGCAGAAAGACTTGCTGTTTCCTTCTGCCCACTGAGGCCATTCACTCAGCACTGAGGAAACTGAAACGTCCTTCAAGTCCTGAGTCCCAGGGCTTTCACAGTAGGATTTACTGTTGATTTTTGATTGCTCTGAGGGTTCCCCCCAAACAAGGGCTGTTTCTTAGCTGTCTTTGTAACTCCAGGGTGTCCACAGCCTGGTTCTCAGGAGACGCTCAGGGAATGCTTGAGTAAGTGAATGAGATGATAATGTATTTCTGACATATATGTGTATACATGAATGTGTATATATATGTTTATATATTGATTCGTGGCATATTTCTTTCCATGGAGCTATTATAATATCTTAGGCTTGCAAGGCATGTCATGGTTTACCGGTGCTTTACCAATAGCAATAGTACTAGTAATGATATCGTAATACTGATAATAGTTTACTGAGTGCTTTACAAGTATTATTTCCTTTCAGTCTCCTGAGGAGATCACCCACTGAGGTAGATATTCCTATTTTACCCAAGAGAAACCTGTGGCGGAGAAAATTCATATGCCTTGCCTTATGTCACACAGCTAGCAAGTGGCAGAGCTGGGTTATCCAAGCATTAGAAACCAAGCCCAACATTTTTCCAGAACTAATTTGTAGAGTGAGTGATAGCCACATAGGAACACAGCATTGTATTTTATGAAGATTTAAATTGGATTCATGTCTTATTACCAAAAAAAAAAAGACCAATATAAAACTGTGATGGCAAACAGATGAAAATAAACACATACCTGACACGTGGAGTGGATCAATACTTTGACCACCAATCTGTCTAGTGCAATGGGCTGATGAAGTACTGTACACAAACCACACTCTTGTATTACTGTTTGCAGCTCAGGAATGAGTGAAGGACACAGGAAACCAGTATCGAGCATCCACTTTTCTGAAAGTAAAGAAGAAAATAATGCGGTAAACAAGAAGTCAATACTGGTGCGCATACCTAACGTGCATCCTTAACCAAATTGATTTTTAGAAACAGTTGCTTGAACTCCAGCCAACTATTCTTTCTGGATCTTCAAAAACATTTCCCTCCAATAAATCGTGATTAAAAATTAAAGTACTTAGTGTTCCTGATTCCCAAGTTCAATGGTCTGATTAAAAAATGGGTGATGTCCACAACGGGGAAACATTTAAGTCTCCATCACATCACTGGGAAGATGTTCATTTCCAGTATCTCTCTCTAGTACTTTTAGATGAATCAGGAAGGGGAGCCTCATTTTGGCCAGCTCTGTCCATGCAATCTAACATTAAACTCTAAATAGATTCCATGCCTATAATTTGTAATAATTGAATGATTTAAGATGCTGAATATAAGGTGCTCAATTTTTTAAAGAAGTGTCAAAGATTGTGATTTGCATGACATGTAATGTGCATCAAATAGCAAAGAGGAAACGAAATAGGAATTTAAACAGATAACATTCTTTATTTTGGAATCAAGTTATGAAACACGAAGCTAGCATATTACCTTCTAATATGGTTCCTATGGGCTGCCATTAATTCTTGTGCTCTGATTTGTGCCACTATTTGAAGTGAAGGCAAACTGTGTTGGCATCATGGTTTTTGAAGGGGATGGTGATTTTTCAGAGCTTGATTTGTTCAGACATGCTAGTCTGTATAGCTTAAAATAGAAGGCCATCCAACTTTCGGAACTGTGACTCTTAATATTCTGCAGCACCCGTGCCCTTCCCACCCACCGATCAGCTATTCACAGATGGATTAATGGGTATCTATTGTATTGCTTAAAGATTCTTAAATGATTTAGCTCAACTAACCAACATGCCGTCTAGAAGCTTCAGTTATTAAAAGATCTGAAATGTCTAGTTCATGATCTGACATCGGTGTAAGGCTGAGTCATTTGGTAAAGAAGTGGAACGAAACAACATCAGCTATCTCTGAGGAACTGAGACCCACTGCAGCTCCCCCTCCCTGCTCTGAGGGCAGGGGCCCGAGAGCATTGGGAGAGTCCCCCCCTCCTGCTACCACTTTGCACATGTCATTCAGGGAGCACACTGAGAAGGGGGAGATCAGACGGAAAGCCTTGACTGGACCACGAGACCCTATGGCTTGATGTGTGGTAACAACAACCATGATGGAACCATTAATACTTAAGTGGTGGGAAAAATCCCTGTTCTCAGAAGAAATTTTGTGGCTTTAGCCCTCAGTTGACTCATTTTGTCCATTTTGCCAGCTCCAACAGTGGTTGGCTTCTGCTGAGGTGGACACTGAGAGCTCAGGGCTCCCAAATCATCATTTCTCAGGAACGATGTGAGTTTTCGAGTCAGAATGAGGGGTGGAGATCACCTCGACACATGACAGCAGACAGCTTAGAGAGCCCCCCGCTCACTGGCTGCCTTGGCGGTGGTGGGCAATCTGGAAGCCAGTGATGCTCACCATGACACCAGCAACACTGCCATGGTTGGTGGACAAAGACCAACATGGAAGACAGCAGTGTGGTTTCATTTGCTTAGGCAGGTCAGGGGAAAAGTCCAGGCTTTTGGGACTTACAAGTATACAGACCAAGTCATTCTCTCTTTTTTTTTTTAAGATTTTATTTATTTATTTATTTGTCAGAGAGAGAGAGAGAGAGAGAGAGAGAGAGATAGAGAGAGAGAGAGAGCACAAGCAGTGGGGAGGGGCAGAGGGAGAAGCAGATTCCCTCCTGAGCAGGGAGACTGATGCAGGACCCTGAGATCATGACCTGAGCCAAAGGCAGACGCTTAAGCGCCTGAGCCACCCAGGCGCCCCAGACTAAGTCATTCTAAGAATGTATACATTCTTTGACATCCTTAAGAAAGGTAACTTGCTTCTGGTATTGTTTTCCAGTTCAGAGCTATAGGACTATAAAAAAGCCATTATTCCATAATGCCTCCATTTTTTAGAGGGTGAAAGCCAATCTGATGTATAACAATCTTTGATATTTTTAACACAACTTATTTAGAAATATTTCTAACCTTATTTAGCAGACTTATTTAGAAATAACAGCATTTTACCTTTTTGTGGTGCTTAGTTTTTGTAACTAAGAGGAAATCATCAGAGAGAAACAGATAAGCATCTAGGAATCTTGAGCTTTCTGAGGAAAAAAAGGTGAAGTTGGGGCTGGAAATAGTAAGGAGAAGCTGTTTTTTAAATCAAGGCATCCCTTAGAAAACAAGACAGGGCGGGTGTCAGGGCATACCAGGCTTACACCTTAGGAAGCTCCAATCATGTGGATCAGAAAACTGCATTACTGTTGAGTTGATTTCTCCCTAAAGCAGAGACTTGATGTGAGTCCACGCTTCCAACTTTAAAGACATTGTATTTGTGATGCATTTCATGTGGATCTAAGATAACTTGGATGGTATTTGCAGTGGTTTCAGCTAAGCCTAGGACACATCTATTGACTGATGGAACTTGCAGTATTTTTGCCTTTTGACTCATCTGGGTGGTCACTGGCAAAGATACATGTGACTAGGAAAAAAGGCATGTTGTTATTGCTGTGAACTGAATTGTGTCTCCTGCCCCCCCAAACTCCTATGTCGAAGCCCTAACCTCCAATGTGGCTATATTAGGAGTAGGTAAGTAAGATTAAATGAAGGCATAAGAGTGGAGCCCTGATCCAGTAGGATTAGTGCCATCATTAGAGGATACGTATGTGGGGATGCTGAGAAGGAGGCCATCTGCAAGCTGAGAAGAGAGCCCTCACCAGAAACCTAATCAGCTGGCAACTTGGTCATGGACTTCCAGCCTCCAGAACTGTGAGAAATAAAGTTCTGTTCTCTAAGTGGCCTAGTCTCTGGTATATTATTTTGACAGCTCTAGCTGAGTAAGACATTCATTAAAGTGACTTCCTTCCCAAGTTTTGCAGCGTGTCTGTACATATTTAAATATTCATCATGTAGCTTTATATTTATAAACTTTTGTGATATCACTTTTCATAGTTACTTAAGGCAAATGGGCTTTTATACTTCTCCCTAAGAAGGGGATAGTAGTAGAAGAGAAATCAAATAGTAGAACGAAGAATCTCTTCCCTATTCTACTCTATCCCTTAGAAATTAGACATAGACGTGGTTAAATGGAAATGATTTCAGAGGAATAGATAGTCCATGCAGAGGTGGGTGTGGCAGAAGTTTAAAGTAAATATGAGAAAAATCAGTAAATTAATTAATATTATTCTAGAAGTTCTTTTTCATATACTGTAACCCCAGGAAAATTTGTGGCTAAAGTTAAGTCAATATACAAAATAGTAAGGATTCATTTCTATTTCCTCCCCTCTTTTAATAGAGGAAGGATTCTATATTTGCATGGCAGAGATATCCCATATTTTATCCAATCTTGAATTGTCCTTGAATATTTTTTTTTTAGATTGTATTCCATCACAACTAGAAACTTTCCTGTTTGCAAATCAGGCTGCGGCAAAGACAGCTTGCTGGTTGTCCCTTAAAAACCATTCACCCAGCCTTTATAGTAATGGAATTTCTGAGTTTTTGTGGCTACATGTCCACCTTCCAACAAATACTCCATCTCCCAGCTTCTCTGGTAGCTAAATATGACCAAGCGACTAAATCTGACTGATGGATATGAACAAAAGTGGGCAACTTCTGGGTCATATCCTTAAATAGCAGGGCTCTGATCTGTCCCCTCTTCCCTTTCCCACCTGCTAGCAGGTAGACACACTGTGAATCATCTTGGACCATGCAGAAAAAGCAATTCCCCAGGGATGGCAGAGCCAGCCTCCCACCCACGCTTCCATGACAAGCACCCTGATCCCACGTGACGTGTGGATACACATCTGACGTGGCTTTTCACTGAGAGATGGTCATGGACATGTTTATCCAGCTTCCACGTGACTTATCATGCCCACCCCCAAACCCTAACTTTGACCCCCTGACCCACTCTCTCCATCACCCTCAGTGTTGCTCAACCAACCTTTCAGGCACATAGATTAGGACACATGAGGGAGTCTTTGACTCATTTTCTCTTTATCCACTTTATCAATCCTCAAGTCCTCCTGCCTTTGCCTTTGGAATATCTCTCACATTTGTCTTTTTCTATTTATGTGTGTGTCTAATGGTTTAGGCTAGACCAAAGTGCCTCGCCGTGTTGGGAAGTTGGTAGATAGAGGGAAGGGACAAATCAAAATCTCTGATAATTCCAGGTGGAAGCCAGTTTTGGAAGAAAAGGCAGTTTGAGCACAGAGTTGCTTCATTATTTTGATTTGGTTTTGTCACGATGTACAACTGTTTTTGAAGTGGTAACTAACATCAAAGAGAATTAAAACTGTCATCTTTTCAAATGGAAGTGGGCAGGGCCTGGCCTCCAGGTTAAGAACAGTTGAGAAGCTCAGGCCCAGGCCCTTCTCACCTCACCCTGCTTCACTGAGGAGTTTCCGGCTGGTCCCTTGACCTTGGTTCCCTCCTCTGCACCATTTTGTGCTTTGCTTCTGATAACTCTTTCTACAACAGCATTTGAAACCTATCATAGTCTTGTCCAAGAGCTCAATGACTTCTTGTTGTCAGCAGCTTCCTGGCTGGGTCCTTCAGCTTGGCTTCCAAGGCAGTGGCTGGGATTCTGGAAGCCTCCTTGGCAGAGGTGGCCTGGCGTTGGTCTGCTCTGGTCTGGCCGTTTAATGTGCCAGGTGAACTTGAGCACCATCACAGAACCTTCCTGAGCCTCAGAATCCTCACCGATACCATGGGATTAACTTCTCTGCATAATTTACTGGAAGGAGAAAATGCATGAAGTAGCCCCTTGCTGTACATCCTGGGCATGTCTATCCTTCCTAATCGGCAGTTTCCGGGTGGGTATTGTGACCCAACCTGACATCTTGTTGCTCTACTTAAAATATAGCGGATTCTCAGCAATGTGTATTCAACAAGGAATTATTGCCCAACACCGCCCCACTGGATCACACTACCATAAATAGACAACCCCATGTCCCACAAGGCTTCCCACACAGCAGGTGACCAATCAAGAGTTTGTGCAGAAATGAATAAGTGAATGGCTGCAAATCTTATTTCAGCCTGGCAGCTGTTTCTGATCATGATAGTATTTACTGAGCACTGACTCAGTGCCAAGCCATTCTTTCATTAGCTCATTAAATCCTCACAACAAAGGGAGGAAACTGCAGTGTGGCAGGATCGCTGTTAGGGGCCTACAGGCACACAGGTAGAGGAGGCTGAGCCAGGAAGTGAGCCTGGCAGTCGGGGGGAGGTGGATGGGGGGAGCTCGCCCTCCAAACCACTATACTGATAGAACTTACATTCTTGGGTGGCTTCTGCCACCAAGCCTTTCCTCCTGCTAGGCTCTTCATCTGGGAGGTTGTCCCTCCTGTCCTTCCAGGGACCTCCATCCTTTCTATGCCCCCAAGCTCATCTGCAGCCCCATGGACCACATGAAGCCTTGCTCAGGTCCTCCAGCTTCACAGACTCTTTGCTTTTCTGGACTTACAATGCAGGTCTGCTCACTATGGCAGATATTTCCAACTAGAGGGAAAGGATTCTGCAGAACAAGTACTTTACATCCTCCAATGGTACCCACCGAGCACAACGTGTATTACACAACAGGGTCCCCATCCACACTGATGGGATGGTGGCCCTGCCCGCTGGAGGAGTAAAGCCATGATGACAACAGGGGACGTCGAGTGTTTACTCTATTCCAGACCATGTGCTAAGCTCTTCGTGTCTATTATTTAATCAACAACCTCATGGGATAGACATGGTTACTTCATTTCACAGAGAGAAAATGGGAGGGCCCGTGCCTAGTTTCGTAGAGTCTGTGTGAGTCCCTAGGAGACTCTGATTCACAGCTTGCATTGCCTTGGCCATAGAGAGGCAACTACCATCCCTCCCACACTTCCATTCGCAATGATTGGACAAGTTACAAGGTAACACAAAGATGTTGGGTTTTTAAAGGAAGCAGTAATTTACCTGCAAGAGTTATTTTTTCTTCATAGAGAAGGTGTCTGTTGGTTGGTAACAAGATGTTTTCTGCCATGTGTTCTTTAAAAATACATTTCAGGCACTTGCCAGACAAGGGAGAAAATCACAGAGATATTGTTAGTGATGGAAAGAGAACATATTCCAGGAGCTGGGGCAATGCATTTTGTCTAGAAGGTTTGCAACACTTGGAAATTCTGGAAGACGGACATGGGAATGGGACAGAATGGAAAACCACTTAGAAGGGCCATCCCTGAGAATGGCTGAGGATGTCATTCTCCCATATACAACACCATGTGGACAAAGGCTTTACTTCTTGCTCAGAAAACTAGATTTCTTACTCACGTGGACAGCTGGGGACTTTCTAAGACTAGGGTGTTAATTTCCACCTAAATGCCAAACTTCTGGAAAAGGACATGAGTCCTAATTGATCCTTTGTGTACCTCTGGAATGAAAAATCTTTTATCTCTATCCCAAAGTGGAGGCCACACTGTAGTCTCCTGTAGACATCTACATTTTTGGAAATTGTCAAGCCATTTCACTTTTCCTTCAAGATCCCTTGAAAAACAAGACACCTAATCAATATAGTCTTAAATGCATGTGACATTACAGCATAAAATTTAACCAAGATCCACAAGAATCATTTAGAGACACTGGCTGCCCTTGGAGCCAAACCATATCTTAGGTTCATTTAACATATTGCTTGCTGTTTAAATGTCTTAGAAAAACTCATTTGAAATCAGCCTCTTGCAGAGAAAAATGAAGCTTAACTAATGTAATTCAGTAAGTTGGAAATGTATTATGCATTTTTATTTCAATAATACTAATAAAGCCTTTGGTAGCTTTATCTTATTCCCTAAGCCATATAGCCTTTAATTAGAGGGGAAACAAATCAGATGAACAAGGACAAACGTATCATTTTTACATTAGTCATAAGGCCTATATCCCCTTCCTGATAAGAATGATTACTGTTTTTCGAGAACTCATTTTCTCTTCTGAAGATTTGTATTAATTTTCCAACATTTTAAAATAACATATTACTATTGAGGTTTTGAAATAATTTTTGGAAATATGGAGGGCAAGTCATAGACCCATAGAATCACATGGTGGGTGGGATTCTTGAGAATTCGTCATCTTTAAGCTCATAGACTTATAGGAAGCCCACAGGAATCTCTTCCCTCAATGACGAAGATCCACATTTTATTGAGAAATCTCCAGAAGAGATGCTGTTGTCTTCCTCACGGACTTATCAAAATGAGTCGTAATCTCCAAAATGACTTTAAAAGTTTAAAAAAATCTGTGTTTGAGTTTTTGTCTCGTTCGTTAATAAGCTCAGTTTTAGTTCCTTGGGTCATTTCAGAATTTGAACAAAAAATTGAAAAATAGGAAAGAAACTCCCAACTGAATGGTCATTTTACTTCTGAACTTGCAAAAAAAAATTATTTCTGTACAGCTGATAATCAATTTGAGTTGTTCCCTTTGGATGCTTCCCAGGAAATCTTGGTTTATGGGCATATGTCATGGCTTTCTTTATTTGAATTTAATTATACAAAGCTCCACAAATTAACTTAAGAATTGACTTAAGTTGTCATAGGGCTTTCTTAGTTCCTATTTCCAAATTTCAGTTCTTGAGACTGCAATTGGCATATTTTACATTGGCCCTAGATTTCAGTGACCAGGGGGAAAAAAAAAGATGATGAATGGTAATTTATCTTCCGGAAAGCCTCCCTGTGGTGTTTACCCCCATTTGCTTTGTGTGTGGGTTCAGTATGGATGTTAAAAACAAAGTGCCTTCAATCATCTGGGAAGTAGGTCTTTTCCTGCCTGAACTCACTTCTGAACACTGTGGAGACAAAGCCACGTCCTGCACACACTTGGTGTTAAGAGTTCTCATAGGGTCGGCCAGGAAACGACTGGAGCCCATTGTTTTGTGTTTGATTTACAATGCACTCAAATTCGAATCCATGGTTCTGAGAGCCATGACCTCAAGTTAATGGAATTACCTTCTAGGATGGAAGCCCCAGCGCTTCCCTGCAGCCACAGGGCCCTCCATCTCTTTGAGGAAGCTTACACCGGAGTTCTGGGTCACCTATATCAGGGACTTACTCAGTGACTTCTCCACCTTTTCCTTGATGGCATAGATCATGATTTTCCCTGGAGAGTCTCTACTCCGTTCCCAGATATTCTTCAGTAACAAGGGGTACTGAGTCAGCCTGTGCAGCGGGGCCACGCGGAGCTTAGGCAGGTGAAGCCGTCTGCACTGTTCATTTTGCTCACACCACTGTGAAGACAAAACAGACGTATCAGAATATCACTTCTCCTATTAAGGCATTGAGAAGCCTGGACACAAGAAACTCTTAGAGACTTTATTCAGTAATTCCATGACATACCTGTGAACTGGTTGGGAAAGGTTAGAAGCCTCGGCCTACACTTTGGTTTTGAAAATTCCATAGTAAACTGTCTTCAGCACGTATCTATCTACCGGTGCCAAATTCAGGGCTGGAAATGGTGGTTAAAAAGTATTATCAAATATTACAGACTGACATTGTTACTTTCCCATTAAAGGAATGAAAGAATCCTTGTTCAGCTGTCTTGCCTTCCCAGTAATGGTGATCAAGGCAGCGTCATCAGCACCCCACGGGACACCACCACCCAATCCTCCTAATCAGGGAAATGTATCAAGATTTTGAGTCACAGGAAAAGTTCAAGACCTGTGAAATCTCCTAGAGAATGAATGTTCCATCAGTGGCCATGATGAGATGTATTAATATACACGTTCCGGCTTTGTTCACCCTTCTCGAGTTTTGTTTTGCCCATAGGCTTTTTCCTTCTCCCCGGCCCTTGGGGGAGATTTCCGGTTTCACCAGCTCTGCTCCCATCCTCATTGTGATTTACAGTTAGGAGAACTGAGAATGCACTCTGGAGGGTGAAAGGGAAAGGAAGGACTTTTGCTCGTTAGGGCAGTTCCTTGAGTCTCCTTTGTTGCTGAGAATCCGGGTAAAGAAGAGAAAATGAAAACACAGGTCAAAGAAGCTAAATTGATCTCCACCATACAGAGCAGAGAGCGGGGAGGGGAGGGATAAGACAGAGACAATTTTCAGTAGAGAGAGATTGGATCAAGAGGTCGTTGCAGGGTGTGCGGGAGCTGGGCAGACAGGAAAAGGTATCTTAGTAAGTACTGCTATGGGTTATATACTGGATTTCCATAAAAGGTATTCTCATGAGAATAGCTCTTCCATTTGTTTCGTCAGCTCGACTGTTTCTTTGAATGTGACACTGTCTTGAATGGAGGGGCCCTGGCCTTTGGTGACACAGGACGCATAGAGCCAAGTCTCTGGCTACTTTGCACATAGGTGCCATCAAGAAAGGGGTGTGTTCTCTCCCTCTTCCCTTCTCCCACCTACTCACTCCTGGGTTGAGGTGTAAAAGGGTCCTACCCTTAACTAAATAATTTTCCTGCTGTAGGCTATTGCCTCTTTTCCACTCTCATGCTCAGTCTAGGTCCAGGTTAAATTCTTTGTCTCATGGCCCTGAGGTGAGGACCAAGTGGACCAAGGCATAGCGTAGAGGCTGCCCCTGCTTCCCCAAAGATAGCTGCGTCTATCTTCATGCCCAGATGTCAGCCCTTGCATTTTGGAGACCTGGATGCAATGGGCTAAATGGCCCAGGGAAGTCCAAAGCCCTCCTGTAGATATTTCCAACTCTCGGAGGAACTCTGGGATTCCAATGGCTTTCTCTGGCCCCTGGACTCCTGTTGGTACCCATACTGCTTCTTTCTTGAACAGCATGGGCCAAATGCCAAGTTAAGTTCCTTGGTTGGTTTCCTATGTTGGTTTCCACTGTAAACCTACTCATGCCAAACATTTTTTGAATTAAGAATTAGTATTTAACATTTGTTTTACTGAAGATTTTGGGTTGTGGGGAGGGGGTCAAATACACAGCCCACAGCCCTCCACCATCTTTCTGGTTCCATTCTCTTCTCTGAAAGGAGAGCTCTTTCTCTCTCTTACCCCTGAACTTCCCCCCACTTTCTCTCCCAGCCTCATGCTTAGTGATTTGTGCTCATCTTTTAAAGTTTGACCATATTTGTGGGGTTCTCATCTATCCACCCTAATAGTTTTATCAAAATTATTTCTTCTGAAAACATTCAGGGCGCATTCCTCACAAGAATTCTGCCAGACATGATCTTTCCCACTTCCCCACAGACAGATGGCAGGTCATGAAGGTGAGCACACGGGTGCGGGGTGGATGGAGCTCTAGGAGCCAGGCTTCAAGGCTTGCTGAGGGACCACCTTCCCTTCTCTGTATCTCAGATTTTTTCTCTTTTGGAAAATGGTGGAAGGTACTAGATCACCTCCATCCAGCTCAAAACAGCTGTGGTTCTCATCAAGGCTGGAAACGATGGGGAAGGAAGCAGAGACTGCAGGTGCAGGAAGGCCGGGGGTAGAACTAGTGGAAAGAAGAGGCATGTGGGGGGTGGCAGGCTGGGGGCCTTCGTCTGTGGCCTTTGTGGCTGATTCCCATGCTGATTCACTGGCAGCTGCATTCCAGCTGGGGTGGCTGGGAGCTCCAGGAACGATTTCCTTAAAGCACAGGCCATTGCCCCAGATTTCCATGCCTCAGGGGACAGCTCTGGCTGCCAGCACCCACTGGTATTCAGGGTAAGTATAAAAACATCCAATCCCCCGCCCCCCAAAAAGAATAACGATCAGGCAAGAAGCATCAGTGATAAACAATTTAGTCAAAGATACAGTCAGGGATAATTGGAAGCTTTTAGAGTTTTGAAAGGCCTCAGAAAAGAGAAGATATTTGATGATTCTCAAAGTAACTCTTAAGTTTTTCTTTCATCTCCCTATTGGCTTTATTTTTTTTTTTAGGTGCATTTGGGAAGAAAAAACCATCTCTTTCAAGAAAGATTGGACATAAAAGGCCTTTTCATGGATGAGTCCAGATCAACGGAGGCCGCTTTTGTTTTATAAGTATCCAATGTGTTTAGGGGAACAGTGAAAGGAATTCAGGGCCCCAGACAAAAAGCATTCTTCTCATAAATCTGTCTTGGGGGCCATAGCACTGGGCTGGGCAGCCAGCGTCTGTGGAATCTTGGGAAATTTACGGAAGCTCCCTAAGCCCCATCTGTGAAATGCGGAGAACCAGAGCGACTATCTTGTCAGGTTGCTGAGGGGTTTTGATGAGCTAATCTACACAAAGTGCTCAGAAGAGCATCTGGCGTTTCTCAAACACTCAGTCTACGGTAGGTAGAGCCCTTAGCCTTTGTTTAGTTGAAACACACAAACAGACCTTGCATGAAGTTCCCAGCCTCTTTCTCTGTCTCTTCCTAACTGTCTAGGAAAGAGCACTGACGGACTCCTATCAGTGTTCGCCACCAGAACGTGCAGCCCCATGTTGCACGGAGGGTAAATTCATCCCACTGCCTTCATCCCCCAGGTCCAGGCAGCCCATAGCATGACCCAGCTTTCAGTTCTCCAGCCACGTTGTTTAGATCAAAACAGATTAGGAGAACGCACGTCAGGTCCAGACAGGATTGTGTCTGCCCTGAATGACCGTATCTTCCAGCAGGTTGCCTCATTTGTCTAAGCTCCTGAAAAATGAGGATCATGTCAGATCTCACAGGGGGATTATAAAGACAAAGAGATCATAGATGACCAGCAGGCAGCACAGTGCCTGGCCATCACCAGGGCTAGAGAAGGAATCACCTTTTCACCTTTATTATTACGATTATATAATTATTATTATGTATTATAATTATTACATGTTATAAGCATTATGTTTATAATCATTATATTTATTGTATATATTAATAATATTATTATTAACTATCAGTGATGATGCTTTTGTTCTGTACTATGGGGCTATGGAGGGCAGGTGCACCTTCCATTCCTGCAGAGCATCCCCCTGATTCCTCAGCTTTGTCTCATGATGCTAACAGCTCCCCAGCAATGGGAAATTGCCCTGAAGACTTAGAAATAGTTCTGGTATGAAGAGCATTGAATTTTTGTTTGTTTGTTTCCTGAAGACCTCTATCCAGGTACTTTTTGGCCACCTACTGGCCATGTGGCCTTGTAAAGTCACATAATCTTTCTGAGCCTCAGGAACATATGGGGACAATGTAATTACCTTCATAGTTTGGTGCTAAGGAGTGAAAGAGACGTTTGAGCAAGTGGCTGGTAAAACATTGTGCATTGTAAAAGTATTATATGTTATCATTACAACATGGCACCCCCTAGTCCTTTTCCCTAAATATCTCCGGGACTATACATATTTCATAGGTAAATGTAAACCAACTGATATGGGGTTTTCCACAGTTACTTGAAAGCAGTGGCTGAGCTTGGTTTAAATTAATCTCTGCCTTAGCCTGGAAGGGAGAGCAATGGGCCTGGATCCTCCCCAGTTTGGGGGCCTGGCCAGGAGTCCAATCCCTCAGCTTCCAGGGAAAACTTTTGCAACAGCATTACTCATTCGTTTGGAAATCTAATGAACTTTCAGTTTGAGTAGCAAAGTAAACAGGCTGAAAGGCTGAAGCTACAAAAATGGAGCCAAGTCTCTTCCCAAAGATCATTCCTCTTTTCTTGGCCCTGCCACACCCAGGCTTTCTGGCACCTCCGGGCCACGGCAAAGGTGCGCTGATTCATGGTGAAGTGTTTGGGAACTATGGCAGCCTTCCCTCCCATGCCTCTGAGGTGATGCTCTGGCAGGGGCTTCTTGCAGGTGCAGGAAAGAGCTGGTTTTCTGGAAAGGCTGGGGCCATTTTCTCTGGATCCTACAGAAGGGCTCTGGCATGATGCTGAAAAGGTACAGTTCAGGCTAAAGAAATATCAAAAGTTGGGGGTGGGAGTCAAAGGAACTAGGGAAGTCAGGGAAGATCCTTTCCAGTTTCTCTAATTAGCAAATGATTAAGTGCCCCAGCAGAAATTCCTTGTGGTTCTGATGCTTTGGACCCATAGTTGCCATGTTGTCCAACTCCAGGAGCAGCATTTACTCTGTGCTCCGTGATGTGCTCTAGAGGCCTCCATTCCCATAGACTACAGTGTAAATGTGTAACCTCCAGGCTTTTGTGCAATAGGATTTTCCTGAGACCAAATCCTACAAAAGCCAAACTTCTGGTCACAAAGCCTTGGTTCTTGTTCTATTTTCTCCTTGCAGTGTGCCAATTTCTTCCACAAACAAACCAATGAACAAATCAAGTATTTTTAAGCCCTACCCAAATTTCAGGAAAGATGATCTTATGTTTCCACATGTGCACCATTTAAAATTCCTAAATGTGCAGCGGACACTTCTCTTTCTCATCACCTTTACTATGAGCTCGGACAGTGAAAACTGAGTCACCATTATCAGGCAAGAGCTGTGACCGTGTGGATGGAAACAGGTCATCTTCACGATGAACATTTTTTAAACAAAAATGGTATTCCCACCATAAATAGGTAACTCCTCAATAAACCAACCTCCCCCTGCCCCTCATACTTAAAGAAAATTTTACTTAGGACATCTTCGTTTAATTCACCCTTTGTTTCTGTTTATGCTTTATTGAGACCTACCTACCCTGCATGGGTCCTGATCACAAAGATCGATCTGGATTTCAGCTCGTGTTGGTTGATGTGAAGCTGGCGTCAGAAGTACATGATTAAAGTAACAACATTTAACTCTTCATCAGTCCTCCAAATTATTCATAAACTTAATTCTCCTGCTGGTTTCTAAAAATACAGTGTTAAACTTGGGGGCACCTCATTGTTCTTGTAGAAAATCTGATGAAGAGTTAAATGTTGTTACTTTAATCTTGGAGAACTTTAATCTGGCCTTAAACCTACTACAATGACTTCACATGTGTAAGCCATCTCAAGTTTATTTTCGAATAAGGCAGATGGCCAATCCGTACTCATACGTTCACATATGTAAGGGTCAAACTGAGCACACACACACGACGCGCCACCGACTCAGGAAAGCCGATCTTAGGAGAGAGTTACTCTTCTCTCGTCGCCAATGCTTCTGCCTCCTTACTGGGAGACACTCTCTTCAGGATTCCATAGCACCTACCATGTTGCTAAACCTAAGGACTCCTTGATAGATTTATTGATTAAAATAATGAGTAATGGGTCCCACCAAGGGATTTCCAATAGTGTCATAATGTGATGGAACGAGAGAAGGCAGGCACACGTGCTTCCTGCTAACAGGACTACTACAGTGTGCTGAGAAAGCAGATACAGCCTAAAAAGCCACTAAAGGAGGTGACAGTAGTGAAGGCAGAGATAACAAAAGCCCAGAAAACTATTTTGTGGTAGGACCTCAGAGCACAAGATGAGGACAAGATGCGAGGGGGAGAAAGGTCAAGTTTCGGCTCCAGCAAGAAGTAAGCAGGGGGCTCTGATCTCTGGGCAGGAAAGGCCTGGAGATAGAAAGCAGGCCTTCTCAGAGGGCACTGAGATGCTTGACAAATGCCATGACCAAGAGGCAAGTGTTGAGACCTTGAAGAGTCAGGCTTAGAAATCCAGTTCCTTAACACATTAGCTCTGTGACCTTGGCCAATTATCTGACTTCTCCAAGCCTCCTTTTCCTTCTCAGTGACTCACGGAGATGGCTCATGTGTGATTAACAAACGCCCCAGTCTTCCCCCAGGGAACTTCTTGTGAGGCGCCATGGTGTTCCTGTTTATTCAGTTCCCCTTCCGGGGGAGGATTACAGGTTCCCACTTTACTGACAGTGAGTTTGGCCATGTGACTTTCTTTGACCTCTGAAGTGTGAACAGCCATGCCAGGGGTTGCTTTAGGCAGAAACCCGAAGAGTCAGTGAGGGTTCTGCCCTAATCTCTTATGTCTTTGCCATGAAGACTGGTAACATTCCAGGGGGTGGCTGCTCCCTCAGCATGGCTCCCAGAGCAGGGACGCCGAGCCACTGAGATTTGGGGGTTGTTACTGGGTACAAAAATGAATTTAACCTGATTGATATAGGACCACTTAAATTTAGGAAAAGCTTTTACAACCCATCTTTGCCCATTTGTAACATAATATGAAGCATTCCCATGTGGGCTATATTACAGATTTTGAGTAAAGAGTCTATTAATGCCCCATGCTTTAGTAGGCTGTAAGTGCTCTTATGCTGTGGTCTGAATATTTGTGTCCCCTCAAATTCATATGTTAAATACTAACACTTAATGTGACAGTATGCGGAGGTGGGCCCTTAGGAGACTAGGTTATGAGGGTGGAGCCCTTGTAAATGGGATCAGTGCCTTTATAAAAGATGTTCCAGAGAGATCTCTGGCTCCTTTGGCCATGTGAGGATACAATGGGAAGTCTGTGATCTAGAAGAGGACTCTCTCCTAACCATGCTGGAACACTAATCTCAGACTTCCACCTTCTGGAACTATGAGAAATGCATTTCTGTTGTTCAAGACCTGTCCACTCTGTGATATTTTGTTACAGCAGCCTGAGCAGACAAATACAACTTAGGTGTTTTGATGAGAAGTTGATATTTCTCTAGACTGTTTACTAAAAACTGAATTTAAACATCTTCTGAAGGATTGAGAAATCCCGAGATTTTTATCTAATTCCCAACACACTACATTCTTTCCCTTGTTTTTCGAAGCATTTCTTATTCAAATCTGTTT